TTGTATGTCCTGAAAAGCAAGCTCCTTCATGCCCGGCCATTTCACTGGAGAGTGTGAATGTCGCTAAGTGCAGTGGGAAGAGTGAGCACAAGAGGACAAAAGGGTGGTGGAGCACGTTCTTTTGCCTTCCCTGCCCAAGGTTGTCAACCTGCTGCTGACCAGAATTAGCCAGCCCTTCCCATGGGAATCTGGGCCCAGCACATCCAGACAGGAAAGACACGGAGGCCTTGTGAGCCAATCTCATGCCAATCAAAAATTCTGTGAGGGAAAAAAAAAAAAAAGCCTTTCTGAACTTACTTGAAAGAACAAAACATTTAAGGGCCCCAGCTGGCCACTTGCCTGGAATTTCTCCTCTGAGCATGGCTTTAGGCAGGGCACGGTCATAGGAGGCCTCCTCACCAATGCTCAGCCTCCTATAGGCCTCTCTCTGGACCACAGCCTGCAGAGAACACTTCAGGACACAAACCACAGAAGGATGAGTTGGCAGGGGCAGGACTCAGAGGTCACACCTGCATAGGTGAAGAAGTGAAGAACAGAGAGTTTAAGTGATATGTCCAAAGACACACAGGAAGTCCATGGCAGAGACCCGAGTTGAATCCAAAGTGGATAATGAGGAACACAGCAGTAGCTCAAGGGAAAGGAATCATCTGGAGTGAGTGAAAACCGAATTCAACTGGGCAACAAGACCCATTGGGTTTAATGTGCTTATTTTCAGAGTATTAATATAATACTACCATGATTTACTGTGAGCCTGCCTTGTGCCAGGTACACTATGGGGTGCTTCACAAACATTAATTCTCTGAGACAAGAATGGTTTTCTCCATTTCACAGATAGAGAAGCTGAGGCTGGAAGAATACAAGTAACTTGCCCAGACCGCACAGACACTAAGGGAAATGCCAAGATTCGTCCAAGTCTTTCTGGCCCCAAACCTAGACCTTGAATTATTTTGTATTGGCTTTCAGCAAATGAAGGGTGAAGAGCTGAATGTCTCCATTTATTTGAGGTTCCCTAAACCAAGACACAGAGTTCCTGGGTGTTGCCAACGGCTAATGTGCTTGGCTGGTGAAGGAAAGGTTGGAGGCTCGAGTCTACCCAGAGGCACCTCAGAAGAAAGCCCTGGCCATCTACTCTCCAAAATCTCAGCCACTGAAAACCCCGCGGAGCACAGTTCCCCCTGACGTGCACGGGTCTCCAGGAGTCAGGGTTAGCTCAGCAGCAGCTGGTGGTGGTGGAAGCTAAGACGTCTTCTAGTCGCACGTTTAGACCAAAGGTACAAAGCCTCTGAGCGAACTAGGGTCATGAACGGAACACAGGCTGGCTGGAGTCACACCTGATGATAGAGAACCCTTTGGTAAACACCACGATTCTCTTTGTGTCTTCTCTGACATTCAGCGTACAGCCAGAATCCCCCTCGCTGGCCAGGCCAACAGAACAGGGTCTGTTTTTTCTGAACCTTAGAGTCCATTTAGGAGCTCTGGTAGCATAGTGGCTAAGACACTTGCCTGCTAACCAGAAGGCTGGCGGTTCAAACCCACCAGCCACTCCTCGGAAGGAAGGTTGGGCAATCCTACTTCCGTAGTGATACTGCCTCGGAAACCCAAGGAGGGGTCGCTATGAGTCGGGGCCGACTCGACGGCACACAACAACAACAACAGAGTCCATTTGTTAAAGCCAGTCAGAGGTTGACACTGCACATCAGGACTCATTGGACTGGATAGAGCTGGGCTCCCAAAGGCCTAATTAGGAGAACATGGGGGAAACTCCAAGATCCCTGCCAGTGGATGGCGCCATGTAAACTCACTCCCAGGACTTCTCGCGCATGACTCTCAGAGCAAACCCTGGGCTTGCTCACTGGCTGGATGAGATGTAAGACAGGCGCCTCAGAACACTAAGGAAGCTCTTTCCCCCCATGCTGACTTTGAGGCCAAGGACCAAAGCACTGGCTTTGGAGTTGGGAGAACCTCAGTTCAGTTCCTGACCCTCAACATAACTCTTGCTCTACTATACAAAAGAATTGTTTTCCTTTTCATTTCATCATGTTACTGGATTTGATTAAAATGAGGGACACACAGGGTTGGTCCAACACACCATTCATATGACAGTCTACCCACCAAGCTATACTTGGCAGCCTGTCAAACTTACACAGCAGGCAGGGACACGAAGACCCCTCAGCAAAGCTCCCTCTCTCCATTCTCAGTTCTCTATTCTCCATTCTATTCCAGCTCAATTCACAACTATACAAACTCACCACTACTCAGGCACCGCACTACACACTGCAGATAGAGAGTCTGTTAAGATAAGGTTCTTGCCATCCAGACATTTACACCTAAGAGGAGAAACCCAGGCAAGTAAACATAGTTGCAATGAGGTGTGAGGCATGTACTACTAGAAGCATGTAGAGGGGGTGGAAACAGTACAGAGAAGGACAAAATGAATTGTCTAAGAGGGTAGAGGAAAGCTTGCAGAGGAGCTAATATACAAACTAGGTTTTGAAGGATGAATAGGAGTTCAGTCATGGAATGAAGGAGACATCAACAGGAAGAGAAATGGAGACACACAAAGACCCAGATGCGGAAAGAGCAGGGCCTTGAATCACGCCCCGTTTGTCAGCTTGTTGCACTGCACTGGCTGCTTGTTGCTGCGATTCTGTGCCCTCAGACTAAGAAGACGAGGAAGGAACGCCTGGCAATCTACTTCCCAATATCAGCCAGCGTAAAGCCCTGTGGATCACAACAGAACATCGCCCAACTCACGTGTTCGGACGCAGCAGCAGGAGGAATCAACTGCTGGAGGAGGACACTGTGTTTGGTGAAGGACAGCGCCAGTGAGGGTGGGGAGACCCTCAGGGAGAGTCACAATGATGGACTCTAACACGCCGGTGACTGTGGGGATGACCAAGGACAGGCAATGTCTCGTTTTACTGTATGTAAGGTCGCCGTGAGCCGGGGTTGACTCGACGGCAGCTTCTATCTATTTAGCTGGCGAGGCCCTTTTAGAAATTTGACTTTTCTATCACCAGCATCACTCAGAAGCTCAGGGACAGCCACCAACCCTGTTATCTGTACAAACAAGCTTCCCTTTCCAGCTCCATGAGTCCATGACCCCCTTGGCTCAAGCCTTCTGCTCCTCGTTTTGGCCCTGGATCCTTGGCCCCAGTGACAAGTCTCCCTGACCTTGATGCTCTGAACTCTTTTGGCCCTTCTCCCTGTCTTCATGTTCCTTCTCTTCCCTTCACTGTCTGCCCCCCCCCCATCCTTTTCCTGGAACAATATGCCTTCCCTCCCTGCCTCTAGCTCAAGCCTACCTGGTGGGAGTAAGTGGGAAAGTAAAACAGAAAAACAAATCTGAACTATGAAAACCAAACTGCAGAGCCAACAGCGTGTGTCTGTGAGAGGCAGGTATGACATGGAATAGCAGAGACCTTGCCCCTTTTAAACAGAAGCTCCTGGGTAAAGAGGCCTAACAAATGTTTGCTCTCTCCTGAGCCTAGAGACCCTGGGGTGCTCAATAGATATTTAAAAAAGCAACCTTTGTCACAGATTCTGTCACATGGGAACTTAGAAGAAGTCATGGGCCTCTCCATAACCCTGCCAGGCAGGTGGGAATAGAGACCCAGTGAACAGAGCCCATGTGCCCAAGTTCTGGCTCCCTTTGTGACCACCTGCCTCCGTCAGCAGGCCCCAAGCTATCTTCAGTGACTCTCCTCCACAGGTCACGGCAACCTGTTTACAGACATCTAGAATTCCAAGGCACTTTTAGGACAAGGGAATTGGGATGTTCCCAAGTGGGCAGCAAGGTCTTCTCACAGAGAAGCCATTCCTCGGGATCTATTTATGCTGCTGTAAACACACGCCAAGGAAACAAGGCGTGTGGGCATGCGCCGGCCCTGCAGGGCCTCGGACGGCTGCAAAAGGCAACTGGAAAGTCACATGTCTTAACAGTGGAAAGTACATATGCAACTATTCTTAGCCCTGGAATGTATACACTGTCTCCTGCCCAGCAGCTCTTTCACGAAGCTCTGGAAAACTGTGAAAGTGCCTTCAGCATAAACAAATCCAGAAATCTCCCAGGATAAACCGTTTGCCCACTGAAGGGAAGGCCTGGGTTCATGGTTTCTCGTGAAGCTGGAGGTGGATACCCATTGGGGGGACGAGCCGGAGCAGGCATCGGTGGATGTCACTGCAGCAAAACAAGGTAAATGTCCCCAATGCCAGATTCTGCTGCCGGGGGAACTCCACGTGCCACCCACTAAACCCTGTCCAGGGTGGTGTTTAGATTCCACTTTCTCTTTATCCCATTTTAAAAACAAAACCAAAAAGACTCAGTAGAGTCAAGTTTCAAAAAAAAAATTGCAGAGGCCCATTTTCATGGCTCATTTCTGTCTCGTTACCAGAGGGCCACGCCCCCAGAGTGACATCTTTGGGGAAGGACGAACTCCCAGAAAGAGATGTTTAGATGCATTTACTAAACAACAGATAGGCTGAGAGTCTGGAGAAAGCTCACATACTTCTGCTCGTCAAGGATATTGAATATTATTATCCTGCTTCAAGCCCCTGACAGTCAAGAACTTTTCTTCCCCTCTCTGATTAGCCAAGGAACTCTGGTGGTGCAGTGGTTAAGGCATTTGGCTACTAACCAGAAAGTTGGTGGTTTAAACCTACCTACCACTCTGTGGGAGGAAGATGAGGCAATCTACTTCCATAAAGATTTACAGCCTTGGAAATCCTATGGGTTGCTATGAGTCGGAATCGACTCAATGGCATTGAGTTTGGTTTTGGGGTTCTGCTTAGCCAAAGATCCCATGTGCATGTTACTTTTGTCAGTTTTGAGATTTGGGATGTGGGTGGCCTCCTTTTCCAGTCTCCATTAAGTGAGACTCTTGGCTACAACAACAAGCATCTAGGGGAACAGACATGGATGCTCTAAGTCCCAGAGCCCTCAGAGCTAAACCCTCTAGAGCATTCTAAGAAAGACTTGACTCTTGCTCTATCTTGGGGCTTCCTCCCCTCTTTGTAGGATGGACGAGGAGTCACCAGATGGGCTGCTCTTCAAAGACGATGACTTCTCCTCTGACTTGTTGAGGCAGCTCAATGGCTTACGACAAAACAGGATCCTGACAGATGTGAGCATCTGCGCCAACACCTGGGAGGTTCCCTGCCACCGAAACGTGCTGGCTTCCAGCAGCCCCTACTTCAGGGCCATGTTCTGTAGCAACTTTAGGGAGAGCAGCCAGGCCAAAGTCCAGCTGAAAGGCATTGACCCCACCACTCTGGACCAGATCGTCCTGTATGTGTACACGGGGCAGGTGCACATCACAGCTGAGAATGTCCTTCCCTTGATGGAGGCGGCTTCCATGTTGCAGTACCCCAAGCTCTTTGAAGCATGCTCTTCATACCTCCAGAGCCAGCTGAGCCCCAGCAACTGCCTAGGCATGATCAGACTCTCTGAAATCTTAAGTTGTGCGACTCTCAAGAAGAAAGCCAGGGAGGTGGCCCTGAAGTACTTCCCAGAGGTGGCCTCCTCAGCCGACCTGAAGGAGCTCTGTGCCCTGGAGTTGAGAGATTACCTCGGAGACGACGGGCTCTGTGGGGAGGAAGAAAAGGTGTTTGAGGCTCTCATGGTTTGGGTCAAGCATGACTTCGAAGCCCGGAAACGATACATGCAGGAACTGTTCAAGCAGGTCAGGCTTCAGTATGTCCACCCAGCCTTCTTCTACCACTTCATTGCCAGTGACACCCTCCTTCAAACCTCACCTGCATGCCAGGCCATCTTGGAGACAGCCAAGAAGCAGATGTTTTCTTTGTATTGCACCAGTGCCCCAGATTTCAAGCCTCTGTGTCATGTCCCTCCAAGAAAGTCTTACCAAGAGTTCCTCATCCTCGTGGGTGGAAGGAAGGACAGCCAGCAGACCACTAGGGATGTTCTTCTCTACAACAGACAGACTGGCCAATGGCGGGACCTTGCCAAACTCCCAACCCGGCTGTACAAGGCCTCTGCTGTCACCTTGCATCGCAACCTCTACGTCATTGGGGGCATGGCTGCCAGGGCAGGGAAAAGTCTGGTCAGCCCCAACGTTTACATCTTCTCCCTGAAACTCAATCAGTGGCAGCTGGGGGAATGCATGCTGGTGCCCCGCTACTCCCACAGAAGCACTGCCCATAAGAACTTCATCTTCTCCATCGGGGGGCTTGGCGATAAGCAGGAGGTCATGGGCTCCATGGAGAGATATGACAGTATCTGCAATATCTGGGAGAGTATGGCCAGTATGCCAGTGGGTGTGCTCCACCCTGCAGTTGCAGTGAAAGACCAAAGACTCTACCTCTTTGGGGGCGAGGACATCATGCAGAACCCTGTGCGCCTTATCCAGGTAAATGGCTAGTTCTCACTCATCTAAGTGTATGACTCTTATAAGATTCCCTCACAAACACCCACCCACCCATTTCTCACTTGTGAAGGAAAGAAGGCAGGCAAGCAGGAAGGAAGAAAGGAAGGGAAATTTTCAGCAAGACTCCATCAGCTGATGAGTTCTTTTTGTGTAAATTCAGTACATACAAAGACACATCAGATGCAACCCCTTTCCACAAAGAGTTTGAGGGGGGAAAAAAACCTAACAATTCAAGGGAGAACATATTTAATATCAGATAATGAAGTCCTATAGGAATTTAGCAGATGCTTCTAACCCAAATAAGTGTGGCCTAAGAAGATTCCTGAACACTGACTCATTAGCCCATTTCCTAATCCTCTCAACTCCACCTCAGAACTATAGATCAGAATCTCTTTGTGTAAGGTCCTGACATTCACATTTCCAGGAGATTGTCAGGTGCAGCCAGGATGGGGAGCCCGTGTCTTAAATTTTACTCACAAGTTCTCAGAGAAGTAGAACTAATAAAGGTCAGAATCTCAGAATATTAAAATTTTTTTCAAATTTTATGCAAGTTCTAGTCATCTGCAGCTCATCTAATGACATGGAAAACTTGACTAACAAGCTTATCTTTAAAGATCCTCAAGGAGACCACCATGAGATTTGTTTGTTCTTTTCTAAGAAAGAGTTATGCTGAGTGGCAACCATTGTGAAGGCCCTGAAGACATAAGCATGAGTAAGGAATGCTCTCAAGGAACTTACAGGACAATTTCAGTTCAGATGCTACAACTGAGGGGTGATCTAAGAGCATAAGGGGTGCCCAAAACAGGTCTAGAGGGGATCAGGGAGCTGTAGCATTCAGAGAACTTTGGAGGGAACCCTGTGAGGTCAGCTTCAGCCGCCTTGGGCAGAGAAGCAGGGAGCACAGATGATAAGTGAGGATGAGGAGCAGAAGAAGAGGGACACACGGAGAGTGGACGCTGAGAGAGCACAGCAGAGAAGGATCTGACACTCGAGGCAAAGCAAGGAAGCTCTTTGAGCAGATGTCTTTGAATCTGCCATCTGAAGAGGGTGTCCAGTTATCTACCAAGGGGAAAGGAGCATTCCTGGGTAAAGGAACAGCTAGTGCAAAGGCCCTGAGGCAGAAAGGGGTACAGCCCATTACCTTGAGAAGCTGAAAGAATAAGCATCACAGAGCAGGGAGGAGGGATGGTGAGCCAAGGAGTGGCTGGGCAGGAGCGTTAACCAGTAACAACCAGTTGCTTTCAAGTCAATTCAGATTCATGGCAACTCCATGTGGGTCAGGGTGCTCCTCAGGGCTTTCAAGAGCCCATTGTCAGAAGTAGACCAGGCCCTTCCTCTAAGTTGCCTCCTGGTGAACTTGAACCTCCAACTTTTTATTAACAACTGAGTGCATTAACCCAACCCTTTGAACCACCCAGGACAGAGGGTGTTAAGTTCCCCACATAACCTCCATCTGCCCCCTTCTCAAATTACCCAAGTAACCCCCTCCACCCAGGCTCCTATCCCTAAACCCCTCCAAGCTCTGACCACAGGATGTAGACGTAGGCATCCTCCACTTCCCAAAAGTTCACTTTACACAGCTTTGGTTTTATGAAAGACCTGCATTTGTGCAGGCATGCCTCATTTGTTTGCTCTTTGCTTTGTTGCACTTCGTAGATAGCGCATCTCACAAACTGAAGGTCTGTGGTTATTGTTATATGCCGTCAAGTCGGACAGACTCATAGCATCCCCTCCTTGGGTTTCCGAGGGAGTATCTCTACAGAAGTAGATTGCCCAACCTTCCTTCCAAAGGCCTGTGGCAACCCTGTATTGAGCAAGTCTATGGCACCTTTTTTCCAACAGCACGTGCTCACTTTGTGTCTCTGTGTCACATTTTGGTCATTCTGACAACATTTCAGACTTTTCCATAACGCTATTGCACACTTCATAGACTATGGTAGAGTGTCAACATAACCTTTACAGGCACTGGGAAACCAAAAATATCATGTGACTCACTTTATTGAGACCCTTGCTTTATTGCCATGGTCTGGAACCAAGCCCGCAGTATCTCCGAGGTATGCCTATACCGGTTTTCACTAACCAAAAGAAATCCAAAGAGCAATTTTGCTTTCAGGAAAAAAGGTAAAAAGCAAAACTAGCATTCACATTTGTTTTGCAGCGAGCCATTAAAGAGGCAGCCAAGCTCCTTCCTGGGAGCGGGACTCAGCATCAAGCCGCCGTAGCTTTGAACTGCATCTGTGAACACTACATGGTAGTGCTATTTTAGGTTTATGTGTTACTTGGTAGGTTCTTTTTTGGGTCTGGGAACACTGAAAATTTTTTCCCATATAATTGCTCCTTCACTTTATGCCATTTCGGCTTACGTAATGCTTCACAGGACCGTTCAGCTTTTGGATAGCGGGGAAAACCTGTATAATGAAGTACCTCTACGTAAAGCTAGAGCCCCTCCCTTTTTCTGGATTATTTTTCAAACTTGAGTTGACACAAATATGCTGACAATTTCACAGTGCAAAATTGTCATCGACTTCCTAAGACTGAACCGCAAAGCTCTAAAGTGTTTTCAATTAGGAAAGCAAGAAATGCAGTGCAATCAAACAAGGTCATTGCAGGGTCAAAAAAACTCCACTAAACTAAACAGGTAAGTGATCCTTGACACTGAAGCAACTGGAGGGAGGAGGGAAGTGAAAGCATTAATGAGGACATTTTTCTCATCTACTTACCACTAGCTTTGAAATGGAAATGTCACTCATTCAAATACAAGATAAGATGAATGCTTGGGGTGACTTGATAGATTTTTAGATGTGGAGTCTAAAAATACATTCTTTTATGAATTTATACTTCAGTGGAGTTGCTGTGAAAATTGTGTGTGCACATGTACCTTGCTACCTGGCCTTTTTTCTACCTCCTTCTGGATGACATCAAGCAAATCCTTTACCATAACAAAGTGTCCCTTGCTCCACTGGTCAAAGATCATCCCTTGTTACCCTGGCCCCAGCCTCTCCAGGGTATTATGAGGCTTGTGAACAAATGTTTAATCTATTTTTGAAACCATACCCAAAGCTGATAGAGAACAGAAGGCCAGGAGGCAGTTACTCACTCAAGTAAAATGCAGACGGTGTTTGCTTTTCCTCCAAGGCGTCCACTGCACTTTCCAAAGAGTTTTGCCACCTACTTATTTGCAGATAAAATCATGAGGCTTCATGGTTGTCTCATTCCCGCTGTCCCTAGCACTTGGCCTCTCCCATGTGTCACCGACTTGAGACCCTCACAGAGACCTCAATTCATCTCCAGTCTCAAAAATCTCTATCAGGAAAGATCACACTACATGGTCCCAGGCAGAGCTATGGGTGTGATTCTTAAGAGCACACACTCTGGGCTCAACCAGACCAACTCTTCCACTCACTGGAGCTGTGGGACCTTGGGCATGCACTTAGGTTCTCTGAGCCTCAGTGGTCTAATCTGAAAAGTTGGGGGAAGTAATAGTACCTACCTAATAGGATGGTTGTAATGACTAAGTTCAATACAATGATCAAAGTCAAGTTTAATAATGCTGATGATTTATTTTATACTGAAAGAACTTCCACTGACAGGGACCGTACCATCTTCCTCTGTAAATAAATAACAAATAAATATTTGTTTCTTCTTTTCTTATCTGTGAAGTCCATCCTCTATGTCTTGTGCTAAGTTTTGCCTTTAATGAACTAATTTACATTTGACATTTGCATGTTAAGCTGAGGACACTAACAGAAGGGACTCACGAGTTAGGGCATCAAGATCTATTCACTGTTTCAGAGCATAGCAAAGGACACCTGGGAAAAGAAGCTCCCTCCCACCCTGGCCCCTCCTCTTTCTTCTTTCCTCCTTTTCTCATTCCCTTTTTTCTAGGACTCTGGTAACATAGTGCCTAAGGCACTTGACTGCTAACCAGAAGGCTGGCAGTTCAAACCCACCAGCCACTCCTCGGAAGGAAGATTGAGCAATCTACTTCCATAGTGATACCACCTTGGACACCCAAGGAGGGGTTGCTATGAGTTGGGTCCGACTTGACAGCAAACCATAACAACAACACTGACTGTTCAAGGAGCTCTGGTGGTGTAAAGGTTAGGGCATTTGGCTGCTAACCAAAAAGTCAATAGTTCAAGCCCACCAGCTGCTCCACGGAAGAAAGATGAGGCAGTCTGCTTCCATAAAGATTTACAGCCTTGGGAACCCAATGCTGGTTGCTATGAGTTGGAATTGACTCGATGGTAGTGAGTTTGGGTTTTAGTTTATTGACTGTTCAGAAGCATATCCAATGTCACAAAATAAAATGTGTATGAATTGTTGAATGGCATACCAATTTGCTATATAAACTTTCATCCAAATCACAACAAAAAGCTTAAAAAATAATAATAGAAAAGCCTACCCCACCCAGCCCAAAACTGATCATGACTCTAAGACCCCATCAATCCCAGAATACACTGGAACATTTAGATACTGAAACATGAGCTTAGAGATTAGTGATTGAAGAATCATTGGTCTTATGAATACCCAAGTTGCTCCATTTCTCATTAAAGTTAAAAATGTCCCAAGCAGGAAAAACAGATACATTCTCTTCCACAACGCAGAACTCGCAGTTCATTCTATAGAAATCCAGCCACTGATTTCATGGGGTCACAGAGACGCCAGTTTCTAATAATATTCTCCTTCCTGTTATTGAATACTGTTTTGGGTCTTGAAAGTAATGTCAAAATTTTGAAAAAAAAAAAAAAATCAGTCCTATTTCACCCTCCTAATTATTCCTACTGCCTATCTATCTAACTTTAAAATGCAGTGCCATGATTATAATATTTCTCCCTCAGGTTTATCACATTTCCAGGAACATGTGGTTCAAAATGGAGACAAGAATGATCAAGAATGTGTGTGCCCCTGCAGTGGTGCTTGGCAAGTGGATTGTCATCGTGGGAGGTGAGTTTAAACAGAATATCGCTAGGTTGGACACAAACTTGGCATCTCCTGTGGAAAAGGGTCACTAATAGACAGATGCTGTGGGAGTTATGTTTGTGTGTCAACTTGGCTGGGCCTGGTTGAGTGGCTGGGCAGCTGGTGGCAGTTATTCCCCATGATGAGACTGGAAATCAGCTCCATGGTGGGATCTACCACAAGCAGCTGAGTAGCTGTTTGGGGTATGTGGTCTGCTTCCCATTTATAAGGAGAAGCCTTGGGGACAGTCTCAAGCTTATGGCATGCTTGGGCCCTGCATGTAGCCGTGTCGTTGTTCAGCAGCCTGCCATGCTCTGTCAACCTTGGGACTTACAATGGACTTGAATTAATGACCTGCCATGTGATTTGGTAACATCAGGACTGTGCCTTTTTACTTGTCAACCTTGGGCTTGGCAGCTGTCTGAGTGAAGAAACACCTCTAGCTTCAGTGGGCCGGGAGCTGGAAAGAGATGTTGAAGCCCAAGGCTGAGGGGCTTTCACCCAGCCCCTACAACCTGGCACTTTGAACTCAGACTTAAAGCCTTCAAACTGTAAGAGAATAAACTCCTGTTTGTTAAGGCCATCCCTTTTCTGGTATATTCTTGTCAGAGCAGCACTAGGTAACCAGAACAGATACTGTTCTACAAGTTGGTCTGTTTAAAAGCACATCCACCCAACCAGGGGAGTGGCAACAATGTGGCAAATCTCCTTCCTCATCCAGAAGTTTCTCCATGCCTCTGTCTGTAAACAAGGGGTGAAATAAGGCCTGTTTCAAACAGGTGTTTTGATATTTAGACACATTTGTGTATCTGAAGCACTGAGCACCCTCCCTGACACGTGGGAAATGTTCTGGAAGTGTTTGCTAGAGTTCATAGAATACTTGCTACTGTTCATACACCGGCAACTAGTGGGTTGTTGAGCTCTAGTAGCACCATAGTGTCACAGTTCAGAGGACTGGTCTGGGGATTCAGTTGACGTAGGTTCAAAGCCCAGCTCTGCCACTAACTGGCTGTTTGCTCTGGCAAGCTTCTAATCTCTGTGTGCCTCAGTTTTCTCACCTGTAAAATGGGGATCTATCCGATAGGGTTACTGGGGAGACCCACTCTCAGCTCCCAAAGACTATTTCTTGGGATTGTTAAGTTCTTACACAGGTGTATAAGAGAGAATACAATGCAAAGAAGGTGGAGAAACCTATTGGAATCAGGGGGCTGCTCTCCAATTTAAGACGGGCTTACATGCTGCCTTGACTTGGGATTAAGAATGCAGCGCCCAGAGTCACACAAATCTGGGTTCAAACCCCAGCTTTGCCAAGTACCAGCTGTGTGACCTTGGGCAAGTTGCTTAAACATTCTGAGCTTTGGTTTCCTCCAAGTTCCACCCTCATGAGGATAATGACAGGATCAGACATGTACCCAGGATCACTGACCTCCAGTTTCCAATGAACAAGTCTGAGCTTGCCTTGGTTTCCACTTGGTTTCCAGGTTATACACGGAGGATTCTTGCTTACGACCCTCAGTCCAACAAGTTTGTCAAGTGTGCAGACATGAAAGACCGGAGGATGCACCACGGGGCCACGGTGATTGGGAACAAGCTCTATGTGACAGGTGGGCGGCGGCTGACCGTGGACTGCAGCATCGAGGACTCGGACACCTTTGACTGCTATGACCCTGAGACGGACACGTGGACATCCCAGGGCCAGCTGCCTCACAAACTCTTTGATCATGCCTGCCTCACTCTGCAGTGCATACCCCACACATCCACCTTCACGTGAGGTGGGATGTTTACCCTCTGTCGGAGTCAAAATGCTGGCTGTTGCAGTGACAGAAAATCAAAAGACCCATTGCCATCAAGTAGCTTCTGACTCATGGCGACCCCCATGTGTTCCAAGGTAGAGCTGTGTGTTGCATGGGGTTTTCTTGGCTCTAATCTTTACAGAAACAGATTGCCAGGCCCTCCCTCTGTGGTTCGCTGGGTGGGTTCGAACTGCCAACCTTTAGGTTCATCGCCAAGAGCAAACTGTTTGTACCTGCTGGGAACCTTGAGTGCCAGAAACCCAACTACAAATAACTGAAACCTAAGAGGATTCAGGGACTGCTCATAGAATGAAGGTACAAGAATCCAGAGGCCTGAAACCAGGCATACTGTTGCCAGAAGTTGCTCTCTCTTTCTGCCCCTCCCTGTCCCCTTCTCTACTCCCACCTCATCCCTATAGTCTCTATCATTTTATAAACAAAAAACAATGGCAACCGATGAGCCCAGATTTCTACTCTCTCAACTTTGCATCTTCAAGTGTCAGCTTTCTCCCCGACTGTCCACAGAATTCTAAGAACTGATGCTAATTGGCCCATTTTGATCACATGCCTAACTCTTGAACCAATCAGTGTTCCCAGAGATTAACTAACTAAACAGTTGCCATCCATTCAATTCCAATTTACTGCGAGCCATGTGTCAGAACAGAACTGTCTCTAAAGGGGTTTCATTGGCTGATTTTGGGGAAGTAGATCACCAGGCCTTTCTTCTGAGGTGCCTTTAGATGGACTGAACCTCCCACCTTTCTGGTAGCAACCAAGCATGTTAACGGTTTGCACACTCAGGAACTCTTGCCACAGATTGGTCTACTATAACTGAGTAGTCCTGGATCGTGTAGATACTGACAGAGATGGGATTAACTATTGTGATGGACAGCTCATCAAATTGCGCATAATAGAATAGAAGCCACTCCCCCAAAGAAAGACATGCTGAGCTGACAAAACCCACATCTGCCCTGGACACCACTGGAATCAGAATGAGAGGACTGAGAGACCCAGGCGGGTCCCTAGGGGCACCAGGGCCAGGTGACAGCAGCAGAAATGGGCGCTTGTTCTGCTTCTCTGTGCTCTGTGCAATTCCAGAGAGTCTGTGCAATTCAGTACTTGGTGACAGAGATGTGGCCTGTGCTGCCAGGACGGAGTTTGTCTCTGGTACCAATGATGTTTATCCTCTAGCCTCTGGGGACTTCTAAATCTTCAGAATTAATCCAGATCTTCATTTTGGTAAACATTATGAGAATTGCTATTTGGAGGAAAACCAAGGAATTCCTACAGAATTACAGAATTCCCCTCCTGATGCCAGGCTTAACTATTCCTATAACCTCCTTTATCTCAAAGTGCCTCCCACCCTGCTCAGTCCCAAGCTGTGGAATAAACTGAAATTTAGAGCCCTGGGAGTCACCTGGGAAGATGTTTTCAGATAGGGCTGAGCCCCATTCCAGGAAGGTTGATATGGATTCTCAGAAGTGGGGCCCAGAGCTCTGTATTTTTGAAAAGCTCCTAAGGTCAATGTAGGGGCTCTGGTAGTGTAGTGCCTAAGGCACTTGACTGCTAACCAGAAGGCTGGCGGTTCAAACCCACCAGCCACTCCTCGGAAGGAAGGTTGGGCAATCTACTTCCATAGTGATACTGCCTCGGAAACCCAAGGAGGGGTCGCTATAAGTCGGGTTCAACTCAACAGCACATAACAACAATAACAAGGTGAATGTAACATGCAGAGTTAAGTGCCACCAGTCTGAAGATTTTACTCCCACTCTCTTCCCACTCCTACCGCACTCTGCAGTGGGCACTGAAGATCTGCATCTATTGTTTGTATTCGGCCAGGGCCAGTGTCCCCCAGAGGAAGCCCTTTACCCAGGAGGCATGGCCAAGATAGACCATGCTACTTTTTACCCCACTTCAACTTTCCAGACTCTGTTCAGGGCAGGAAAGAAGTAAGGAAAGCGAGAAGGACAGTGACCTGAGAAATTGAACAAAAGGTGTTGCCCTCTTCCAGGATGGAGAAGCCAATGGGAGTAGTAGTAGGTTGAGTTGAAGAAAGAGAGTGTGCCAACAGTGTACACAAAGTCCTCTCCTCACCAATGGAAGCATCTAGAATGAGGCTTGCTGCCTGGAGCCTGGTACCAGAGTGCCCCCGAGCTGTAGAATCTCCCCCCCACATGGCTCTGCAGGCCCATGTGCTGGGCTTTTCCCTTCTGCCTAGTTTGTATTGTTTGTACTTCCGTTTCTCCTGCCAGAATCTGAAGTGCTGCCCTGCTCCCCAGACCACCTGGCTGTGGTCCAGGGACACTGTCCAGATTGTTAGCCCTTCCTCCTGGGCATGGATACAGTCCCTTCAGCTCTTACCTGGCATCTTACTCCAATCTGTTCTCTTTGAATCCTTCTATTCAGGCTCTCAAACCCCACTGTCCCTGAAACTGTCCTAGTAAAGGTAACCAATGAGTCATAAGGCACCAAAGTTGGCAGGAAATTTTAATTTCTCACCTTCCTTCACCAATCAGCAGCGCATGATCCAACAATCCCCCTCCATCTTGAAATACATTCCACCCTTAGGCTCTGGAACATTACTCCTCTTGTCTGTCCTCCTCCTCTCCCCAGTCCATTCTCATCTCCTCATTTTCCTGACTGTCAAATGCTGCTGAGGCTCAGTCCTTGGGTCTTTTTGAGCATTTCTTCCCACTCCCTAAGTAAGTGAGTTCATCCAGCCCCACAGCTTTAAATTCCATCCAAACGCTGATGACTGTCAAATTTTCTCTGATTCCAGACTCATACACCCAACTGCTTGCTCTCCATTTCCCCTTTGATGTTGAAATGATATCTAGAACTAAGCATGTTCAACGCTTCTCTTTCTCTGGGAACATTTTTGACTCTCTAGTTAGAAATATTGCCCTGATTTGCAAACTGTATATTAAATAAACTTCCATTTATAAAAAAAAAAAAAAAAAAACACTCTCTTCAACTCACCCTGTTACTCCTCCCATTGGCTTCTCCATCCTGGAAGAGGGCAACACCTTTTGTTCAATTTCTCAAGTTATTGTCCTTCTCACTTTCCCTACTTCTTTCCTGTCCTGAACAGAGTTTAGAAAGTCGAGGTGGGTAAGAAGCGGCACGGCCTACCTTGGCCAAGCCTCCCGGGTAAAGGGTTTCATCTGGGGGACTCTATTTGCTTGGAATTAGAAGTGGGTGTCTTGCCATCTGTAAACTCCTGTGGTCTCTGAAAATCCTTGTGTCCTACACTAGCTAGTGCCCTTTCTTTTCCTTTACTCTCAAAACCACACTCACTGCTTTCAAGTCAATTCCAACTCATGGCAACCTCTCCTTGGGTTTCTGAGGCAGTATCTCTACCAGTCTTCCCTCTGAGGAGTGGCTGGTTGTTTTGAACCACCAACCTTCTAGTTAGCAGTCAAATACCTTAGGTGCTACACCACCAGAGCTCCCTTTATTCTCAGGCCCCTGTGATTAATAACCTTCCAAAGCCTGTGGTTACTCAAAGCTTCTCCACGTCTTCCTAGAGGCACAGAAGAACTATGTAACTTGCCCCTGGGGATTTATAAAGAAAGATGGCACTATACCAGGGCCAAGCACATTTGGAAACAACTTGAAGGTCAGCTCCACGTGTAAAATAAGATGGCTTTGTGGCAGATGAATCCACACACCTGGACGTCACCCCTGGCCAAATTTCATATCTTAATGGGGTTGCAAGAGGGTGCCTTTCCAATCTGCTTAAGATAATCCCAGTCCAAAAAGAAAGAGAGAGATGGTTTTGGCACAAGGTTTCCTTGGCCTCCCTGGTTAAGTAAAGATGCATAGCCATAGCTGAGGTCAAAATACACTTACCCAGCAGCAGTTACACTGAAGAGTTTTTAAGTAAAAATTATGAAATTGTCTGACTAGTCATCTCAACAGGCAATAAGGTGAGGGAAAACATGAACCAGAGCAAGGGCTAAGCAAGAAATCACTAACAAAATGCAAACCCCTGCCTCAACATGCAATGGGTAGGGAGGAGGAGGAGAAGGAGCCAGCAGAGAAAACAGCAATGTTGGAAGAACCTGGAGCAGGGAGAAGTGGGGAGCAGGGTGCCGAGAGGAGGCTGTTCATCCTGAGCACTGGCAAACCCCATGCTAGCCTCAGTCATGCATCAGGCTTCTTGAAAGAAGGCCCCAGTCTTCTGAGGCTGTCATCAGAGCATGCACTGACCAGGACATGGGCAGCCCAGACCCTGCGCTGGCCAGTGCCCTGCAGAACAACATGGCCTCAGCATGGTGGACTTGCTGGCATCCTGAACCCACTCAGACTCTGTCTAACACTCTCCCCATAAGCAGTGGCAGCTCCGAAGGTGAACCAGTCCTGGCTTGGGACTCCCACTTTCCCATTCAGATGATGCCCCTCCTTATGATCTGCCTCAATCTCTCCTGCACCCACTCTCTCTGCTAAAGAACAGAAATGTCCAAATATCCACATCTTAAAACCAAAGTCTCTTCCCCCACCCCACCCCCCAAAAAAACCACAACTCCCTGCCATTGAGTTGTGCCAATTCATAACAACTCCATTGGGTTTCCAAGGCTATAAATCTTTACAGAAGCAGACGGCATCATTTTAATTCCACAGAGCAGCTAGTGGGTTCAAACCACTGACCTTTTGGTTAGCAGCAAATGCCTTTAACTACTACACCACCAGAGCTCCTTAAAGTCCCAAAGTAGGCTGGGTTTACCTCTACCGCCTATAATGAAAATCGGCAACTGCCCAGAGGCAAGGACTATGAGTGGTGTCACTCAAACTCTTCATACTTCTTAGAACACCTGACCCTTGCCTAATCTTCCACAAACATGCACTTCCATGGCTCTGTGCTTTTCACATGCTATTTCCTCTGCTGGATGCCTTTTCCCACCCTGTCTAGTAAACTCTTCCTCACCCTTCACCTCCTTTGTGGAAACTTCTCCAACCTTCCTTCCCAGGCTCCCTCCCCTCTGCTCCCTTTATTCCAGCACTTTCATATCATGACATCATAATGTTTT